AGGCTTAACAATATATTACGATGCGATGACGACGGCTGCGTCGTATTTCCTATTTACGTTTCGGCAGTCTTCGCGAGTAGTTACAGAAGAGTAACTTCGAGAACATTCTGTGAGTTGTGTCTCCTTTTCCTTTCCCTTTCTTTCTCGTCTCGCACTCATTTCTCATTTTCATTCATAATCTATCATGAAAAATTACATGCGCGATTATCAATTAAATGATATAATTTCGACAAGTTCAGATTTTCAATGTTTCACAAAGAGAATAAACCTTATTCAAATTTTCTCGAAATGTATCCTAAAAATGATTTTTTGTTTTTACATGTATATTAAAATAACGCGATTTTTTGAGAAAAAAATCAAAGTGTGTGTGTGTGTGTGTGTGTGTGAGTGAGTGAGTGTGTGTGTGTGAGATGAGTGTACAATATGTCAGAACCGGCGATTACTTCGATATACACAGACACACATGCGTGTATAAGTAGAATTCTTGAATTCACATTCGATCGTTTTCAGGCCGGCAACAAGTAAGATTCAATTTGTGTGGATATTCTTATATTCTTGTATTCTTATACATATTACATTCCGTGGAGATGACGAATTTGAAGGTACGTGTGAATGCACCGACGGTGCGGTACTCGGAGGATTTTATCGAAGCAGAGTATGAATACTGGAGAACTAGCGTGACCGAGAGTGATGAGAACGATGATAATAATACGTATACGGTGAGAATCTATACATATGTCGACCGTTCATTCAATTATTTTAAATATTTTAAATATGTATGTCATTGTATGATGTTTGCACCGGTCTGTCAATATCAAATCTCTTAGTTGATATTTTATACTTGTTGATTAAACAGCGAATTATTGCTGCCGTTATAACACGTCGTCTACAATGGCAATGGATTAAAGCAGTAACTTAAGGAATTGACCAATCACAATCAAGCATTAAAAGAATACTCGACTGTGATTGGTCAATTTCTTGAGTTACAGCTTTAATCCATTAATCCTACTGCCATTGTAGACGACGCTTAACAAATATGTGTGTATTAAGAATATTTTAAAAAGATTTAAAACTTTTTGATACGAAATAAAGTTTAAAAATGTATATAGATTTTTTATATACATTTTTTATCTAAGTTTAAATTATTGTAAATCTTATTTTATATGGAAGATTAAAAATCTATACAAAATTGTTTTTTAGACCTCACTTCAAATTTGAAGTATGGAGGTGGACTTTTATCTGATGTGTACCATTTTAAAACGAGATATATAATATTTAATATCGTTTTGTTTTGATAAGGCACGTTCACATTGATCTTCCTTCTGCAACATAATATTTTAAAAAATATTGAAATTGTGATACGTTCGTTTCTAATATTCAATTTTACGATAAATGTGTTATTAAGGTTTTTGGTGTTAAACAAATTATCCACATATACTTAATATAATATACTTAATACATATACTTAATATAATATTTAAAAGATTTCTATTAAAAAAAATCGTCACATATATTTTTATATAATTCTGAAGAAATAAGTTTTTAATACTTTAGAGTCATTTTGTATAATGCATTCTGTATAATACTTTAGAGTCATTCTGTATAATGCAACGCACATACGTACGTACATACATATGCATTCACGTATACATCTATCATATATGTGTGCGTTGATGAAATAATATTTATATATTTATGCGCGCATAAAATTATAATTTAATTATATATTTTTTTTTCATATGGTGTGTGTGTATGTGTGCGTGCGCGTGCACGCGTACGTACGTATGTTTATAAATTTAAATATTTGAGTATAATAAGATATAGAAAAGTTTATATTTTTTTAATTTTTTCGCTATAGTCTTTTAATTGTTCTATAAAATTAAAATTACAAAGGAGAGTACAAATTTTGCATATGTATATATACAAAATATATGTATATATATATATATATATATAACATATATAGCATATATATATATATATAACATATATATAACATATATAACATATATAAACATATGTATATATATATATATATATATATATATATATATAAAATATATTTTTGTATTTTAAAAGATAACGAGAAATTTTTAAGTATTATTTTTAAATCGCATAAGTCTTTTGCAGGTATCACCCACATTGACGAGATTGCTGATCAGGACTATGATGAAGGTTCCTAAGCTGGGATTGATGTTGGTAGGCTGGGGTGGTAACAATGGCAGCACCATAACAGCAGCTTTAATTGCGAATAAACTTAAATTAATGTGGAAGACAAAAGAGGGTGAGAAAACCGCAAATTGGTACGTTTTTTAACGTAATTTATTTATTCACATATTATATAGTGCAGAATATACTACAGAGTCTCGCAAGAGTAGATCGTACAGAACTTTGGTACGCTCTAACGCTATTGTCACTCTCTTTACATTCAGGATCGTAGGAAGTATCGTTTCAATAACGGTTACTTATAAAGACTTGCATGAACATGTTTTTTTTTAAGCCACCGGGGAAGAATATTAAGACAATGGTTCTACAATGGACGGAACACACAAAACGCAATCGCATAGATTGCTGATTTTAAAACCATTCTTTTAATCTGATTAGCTGATTAGCGGACGACGCTACGTCAAAAAATAAAATTGATCATCTTTTTATGAGTTTGCATTTTGCGATCTACGATCGGAAATATGTCATGTTATGATTTTCGTTGCGGCTTGTGCATATTGCGTTCATTGTAGAACGGCTTTATGCTCGCGTCTTATAAGTCTGCGTAACTTGTTGCTGGACCGTTATTCCTTTTCATGTTACCTGACTTAGCGCGTGGAAGAGATGTAATATAGTTTTCAACGATGAAAGCGGCGTCTACAATGAGATTTTAAGGCGTAAGACTTAAGAGATTGATCAATCACAGTCAAGTATTAAGAGAATACTCCACTGTGATTGGTCAATTTCTTAAGTCTTAAAATCTCATTGTAGACGATGCTTTACTCTTATGAAGTTTCAATTTATTTGAAATATTATATTTATCGCGCGAGTAAATTGATATTGGAAGTATTATATAGAAAATTCGTATATGTATTTATATGTGTATAAGTTTTAAATATTTATCTTATATATTTACATAAATTTGTTGTATATGTGAAATTAATATTTTTTCATCAAAGCTGTCAAAGATCAATGATTTCATCTGTTTTATTATTGTTTATAATTTATTAATATATAATTTATTAATAATATTAATACATATATGTTGTATTATGTAGTATGTATTTGGTTTAAATATTGTACATAAATAATATATTGTGTGTTAATTTTGTTTTATTTTCTTATATAAAATTATTTCTGAATATCTTCCTGCATGTGTACTAATAAAATAAGGAGTCATATTATTTTAATTTTGCGACAATTTTGCACTTCCATATATATTATTACGTTACTTTTATCTCTAATTTCCATTATATCTTTTCCTTTTTACATTTGCTTTATTTTTCTTTATTACTTGTTTGTCTTTTAGGTATGGTTCTTTAACGCAAGCGTCCACTGTGAGATTAGGGACAAAAAACAAAGAAGAGGATATTTATGTACCTATCTCTAGTATGCTGCCTATGGTGAACCCTGATGATATCGAGATTGATGGTTGGGACATTTCGGATATAAATCTTGCCGATGCCATGACGCGTGCTAAGGTGTTGGATATAAATTTACAAGCACAATTGCAGCCTTATATGATGCACATGCGGCCCAGGAAGAGCATATACTACTCTGATTTCATTGCATCGAACCAGGTAATCAATATTTTAGATCTTTTTAAGATTCAATTTGTTGTCCGATAAAGTTGCAGAAAAAAAAAAAATATATATATATATATACCTATATATATATATATATATATATATATATATATATATATATATACATACATATGTGTGTGTGTGTGTGTGGGTGTGGGTATGGGTGTGTGTGGGTGTGTATACACACACACACACACACATAATTTTCACTATAATATAAAATTATCCTCAGCTTTCTTATGTATAATAATTTGTATTAAACAGCATTTGCACAAATTCATACAAAATAAATATTCATTTTTTGATTTTTTATTTATTTATTCAGACATATTTTTCTTTTTACTTTAAAATTTCGTAGACTATATTTATATCAAAGTAATCTTAATATTTTAAAAGGCTACCATTTTAATTATATATGAAGAGTTTAAAATAATTTAAAATTCGTTTCCTTATATATCGAAATTAATAATAATATAATTTCAATGATTTTAAATTTATATATCAACAGTACATAAAAATATTGTTTATTAATGCCATGGAGCTCCATTAATGCAATGGAGCTTTTGATACTTGACTATATCTAGAATATAATTAAGAACTAAAAATTGATAAATGAGTTGATAATTAATTATCATATTACATTAATATGATAATTATCATATGTAATATGATATGAATTTTTTTTTACATTATTATCCTTGTGGAGGAGCCATGTAATTTCTCTATATTATTTTAATTTTACTAGACATTGCGAAAATTAAATATCCTCTTGCATTATAAATTAGTTTTCCTCTTTTTTTACATATATATGAGACCCCGCACATTTTATATGAAAAAAGTGGCTTCGGTCAAATTGGCTAAAATTGAAATATGTAGTTTAGATAATGCTGACCAAAAGTTTCCTCTGAACTTTTTTTGTCATGCGTGCGTGCGTGCGTGCGTGCGTGCGTGCGTGCGTGCGTGCGTGTGTGTGTGTGTGTGTGTGTGTGTGTGTGTGTGTGTGTGTGGGTGGGTGGGTGGGTGGGTGGGTGGGTGGGTGGGTGGGTGGGTGGGTGGGTGGGTGGGTGGGTGGGTGGGTGGGGGTGTGTGTGTGTGTGTGTGTGTGTGTGTGTGTGTGTGTGTGTGTGTGTGTGTGTGTGTGTGTGTGTTACACAGAGATTAGACATAGCGTGCGTGTGTACATACATACGCACATACGCATATACACATAGATAACAGAAAAGAATTTGAAATCTTTAAATATTATGGAATATAACATATATAATGTTATATAACATATATTATATATAATATGTTATATAACATATATAAAGTTGATAAAGCTAAAAGTTATTTTCATATCAACAAATCTAAGATTTATGAAATTATACTAATTTTAAATCATAATAAGGAGAACTTAATTTATATTTTGAATTCACACACATATTGGAGCTTTAACGGATTAAGAGAAATTCTGCAAAAGTTATTTATAACACAAACTGGAAAAAATGAATTTAAAGAATAAAATAAATATTCTAAAACTATTGAATTTGTTCGAACAGACAAATATAATCGCTATAAGTAGCCGAAGCGATAATATAAATATGTAAAACAATAAAAAAGATCACGATATAATTTTATATTTTAAATATTCTTTGTACATATATAGATTAAATTAGATTATATAATTAAATTTTATTAAACAATAATTATTTATTAGTGGAATTTTTATTTACAAAGGGTAAAAGAGCAAATAATATTATCATGGGTACTAAGATTGAGCAGCTCAATAAAATTCGTAATGATATCGTGGAATTTAAAACTATGAAGGATTTGGATCAGGTGATTGTTCTGTGGACTGCTAATACCGAGAGATTTTCGGAAATCATAATGGGCATTCACGATACGGCTGATAATCTTTTGAAGGCGATCCAAGAGGATCATTCGGAAATCAGTCCCAGTACTATGTTTGCTGTGGCGGCGGCTTTAGAAGGAGTAAGATTAAATTTTGATGTAATCTTTCTTTTTATAAATATTATTTTATAATATGGAGAAATGCTTTTTAAAATTTTTAGCAAAGATTATTTAGCAAAATTGTTGTGATATAACAATTTCAAAATAACAGATTACACAATTACATTCCTTGAAAAGAATATTGTAAATGAAAGAAAAACTGATATATTTGTTTTTTAAAATACTCTATACATTATTTAATATAAATTAGTAAAGAGAATATATTCATTTAATGAGATCAATTTACACACAATTGTAATAATAATTAGTATAATAAAATAAGTATTAGTATAACAACTAATATTAATGAAATTTTATTTTTACATTTTTTTATCTATTCTATTAAATTTTTTTTATTTTGTTATGTCTTTAATTATGTAAATATATATTTAATACAAATATTATATAAAATTATTTTAAAGTAGAGTGCAAAAACGTAAATGAAAGTTTAGAAATTATTTCCTTTATATAATTGTTTATCAAACGATAAAAATAATATTACAATAATTAAAATAAATTAAATTAAAATAAAAATTAAAAATAATTATTAGTAATTACTAATAATTGAGAATTAGAAAAATATTTTCTTCTGTAATTTTTATTTTTTTTATAAATTAAATATTAAACATACACAAACACGCATTCTTTTTTCTATTTAAAATTTAACAGGTAATCTAAAAACTGAAATGTCTGATTTTTTTAGTGTACTTACATCAATGGGTCGCCGCAAAATACTTTTGTGCCAGGAGTCCTTGAACTAGTCGAAAGGCAGAAAACATTTATTGGTGGTGACGATTTTAAATCTGGCCAAACAAAACTGAAGTCCGTGCTTGTAGATTTCCTTGTATCAGCCGGCATTAAACCGGTATCGATCGTTAGTTACAATCATTTAGGAAATAATGATGGATATAATTTATCCGCACCACAACAATTTCATTCAAAAGAGGTATGCGGCAAGAAAGAAAATGTGATATGATTGTGGTTTTGATGTATGTGTGTAATTATATGTCATTATTCAGGAAAAATTTAAAAACATAAAGGTTACTTAATTTTCAAGTGCCATATATGTTAAGGAAGAATTCAGAATTTATTCAACAAATAGTATTAAGTTAAATAAAAAAATACTTGGTGGCAGAAACCGAACAGAATGTGACAAGTACAGATTTTTCATGATTTCTGCTACAAATCTACTATTATATCAGTAAATTTTCCGCAAAATACTAATTCAATATAGATATAACTATTAATATCAATCTGTTATGAATCTATTTTCTTAATTTATTTTAAATTATTTGACAAACTATCAATATGTCATTAACATTTTATTCTTTTAGATGTGTTTGTGTACATATATACAAACATACATACAGGATGTCCGATAATAACCGTATTATTTATCATGTACAGGTAGAGCAGATTAAACTGAATATAGAAAAGTCCTCTATTGTTTTACGATTTTCGCAATAATTAATGAGTAATTAAAAAAGACTAATTTGCGGGAATATTAGCGTGCGACGAGAAAAGATAGCCTACTGTTACATAGTTACTTTAAAGCGTAAGAATCCAGTGTTCCGCGTCACTCATACGTAAATAACTGTTGCCATTTGTAGAATGCTCCTTTTAAAATTTTTTCACGCGCCTAGTAATCACATAAAAGTGAGTTATTTTTTTTCGCGCTGCGCATTAATATTCACGCGAATTGATCTTTTCTAATATTAATTTCTCATTAATTATTGCGAAAACTAAAATAATAGAAGATTTTTCTATTTAATCTGCTTTATGTGCACACGACATCTAATATGATCATTAATGTATACATATTTTATGTATTTAATATCTTCTCTTAAAATAAATATTAAAAGTAATTTGACACATATTTACATATACTTTACATTATAATTTACATATATTTATTCTACATATTATATTATTTCTTTTATTTTTAATTTTGTATTACAATATATTTTCTACATCTACATCAACATTTACATGTACTTTCTATTACATAATATTTTTACATATAAAATTATTAATGCACAGATCTCCAAGAGCAATGTTATAGATGATATAGTGCAATCCAACAAAATTCTCTATAAACCTGGAGAAAAGCCGGATCATTGTATCGTTATTAAATATGTCCCTTATGTTGGTAAGTATTCATTTTTTAAATATTTTTCTATTTTAACAATAATATTCTAGATAACCAAATGTGCCATAAATATACATCATAATATATATATCATAAATGTGTACTGTATATATCATGTTGACAGAATTTTGCCAAACATGATCTGCTATTTTAAATAATATCGAAAGAAATGCAGAAAATGCATGAAATTTTTTGTTATCTATTATATATTGGTTTATTAGGCGATAGTAAGAGAGCCATGGACGAATACACTTCTGAAATCATGCTGGGTGGCCATAATACTATCGTGATTCATAACACATGTGAGGATTCGCTCCTGGCGGCACCTATCATTCTTGATCTCGTCATCTTGGCCGAGCTTTGTTCTCGCATCACTTTCAAGAGAATGGATTCTGATGACGAAGAATTTTCAAATTTTCATAGTGTGCTCTCCATTCTGTCGTACCTCTGCAAAGCTCCTCTAGTGCCACAAGGATCACCGGTAGTAAACGCTCTTTGCCGACAGCGAGCTGCCATTGAAAATATCTTGCGAGCCTGCTTATCCTTACCACCAGAAAACAACATGTTGCTGGAGCACAAGGTCACCTTCAAGATTTAAGAAAAATGAGAAAGGAGATAGAAGAAATGTAACGAATAAAGCAGACATAAGGCAAAAAAGTGATATAATAAAGACTTTGTTTATTATAAAAAAAGAGAATAAATGATAGTATTTTTTAGTTAAATCTTTCAAACACATTCAACAATACTATTTCAAAACTAATTTTAAAAATACGTACGAGTTTAAAATGTAAAGTAAGGAAATGGCATAATTTTGACTTTCCAATTTATAAAAAAATTAGTTTTTATATAAAAATGTTTAATAAATAAATAAATATATATATATATATATATTAAAAAATATATTAAAAAATATGGCGAAAAAAATAATGTAATAAGAACTTTATTATAAAAAGAATAGTTGATAATTTTTTTTTAGTTAAGTTTCTTTTAGTCATATCTAATAGTACTATTTTGTAACTAATTTGAATATGATTTTTGAGTGACAAAGAAATTGTAATTTTGAAGGCTAATTTTCGAAGTTACGAAAAATATGTTTCACATAAAAATTGTTCAATATATCTATTAAAAAATATATCGTTAACTAAGATATATATCGTAACAAAATAATTTTTTTTATTTCTGAATTTCACATGCTTCATATACTAGTCAGTAATATTATTGTTGATTGATTATCATAATTGTAATTATTTTTTATTTAATGTTATTAATATTACGACATAATAAAGATTCTGTGTTATTTATTTCTAAAATCATTATCTTTTAATCTTTTCTCGTGCTTTTATCCACGTATGTACATACATGTGCATCTATGATATTTTATATTTCACTAATTTTCTTCCATTATTCGTACAGTTAATAATCAGTTATAAAGTAAAAGAATGATAAAAAAGAAAACGTGGGAAAGAATGACATTTTATTTGAGAAATAAATAACACGGATTATAATTATATTATTACAAACGCAAAATAGTCTATTATCTAAGTTAATTATAATGATTATATAATATTGTAATAACATTATCTTTTTAAATAATAGTTTACATTCCTCTTCAATTAAAAGTATAATAAAATAATTTATAGCAGTTTATATTAATAAATTATAATTTAATTAATCTGTATGTCAATATATTTATCAATCATAGTATAGATTTGTATAATTCTAATTCAAAAATATTTCTCGAATAAATATATATTTATTAACAAATATGACACATCCAAATTAAAAAAGATGATTATAATTAAAAATTACATAATTATTGCATAAATATAATTTAGATAATTATATTACATTTGCAAGGAAATAATTAGAATATAGCTAATTCTTAGTCCGAACCTGAATTACGTTACATTACGTTACGTAACGAAACATGAATTACGTTACAGACTTATATTGCATAAAAAAATTTTAAATAGTGTATTTGTTGAAAGAAAAAAAGTTTTTATAGTATCTATTATAAGAAAAACAGCTTATAGTATTCATAGCAACTTCAACTAGATAACTGTACATTTTTTACATTGCTGAAACAACATTGAAATTTAAATTGAACAGAAACGGGAATAAAATAAAATATAAACAGATAAGACAAAAGAATATTCTTAATGTTATTAATAAAAAATGTATGCGAGTACGCGAGAGCGTACGTTGCGCATGCGAGAAAGACTGCGCATGTACAAACTTTTACGCATGTGCGAATAATTGTAAACGTGCGAACTGAACAAGACGTGTGTCTGCGCGAGCGCGTACGAAAGCAAATGTGCACACGCATAAGTATGCGCAAATGATAGCTAATGCGCGACAACGAGGTCTGCGCATGTCTATGAATGCGCGCGAGGTTGCGGGTATTTATGACCGGGTATACGCATACGTCTACGTATGCGCGTAAATTGAGGGTTTGCCTGCGAAGAAGCAAGCTGTAGCGTATGTGGGTCAGTTCATGGTACTGATACATAGTAATGACACAAGTCCAAATGCAGCTGGCGCCTATAAAAAATAATTTAATGTTTAACGATAAAAAAAATTGATAAGCTAATTATATTAACTTACATTTTTTATTAAGTGCTTGTTAATTCATTTCTGAAACATTGTATATAACCTTCTTACTTTGTTTAACATTATTGCGAAAAAAACTAAGACACTTCGACATCAGCTTGAGATGTAGTAGCAGCAGCTCCCAATGCAACTCCGCCAATCAACTAGCAGCATCTACTATAAGACCTAAAGTTGCTGTAATACTTTTCTTGTCTTCCTCCACTTTTTCTGGCTGAACATTGATCAATTAAAGGCATAAACCAAGTACTAAACTGAATTCCAATTAAAGAATGTAAATTGCCTGTAAAAGAAGAAAAAAAAACAGGAATACTATTAATTAGATATTAATTTCATGAAATATGGTAATCAGTAAACATGCAATTGCATACTATATAAACCTTTTTCATTAGTAATACCATCCACAGTAAATAATGCTCTTACACCCTCAGGTATAGTCAGGTATAATCGCTAGCGCAGTACCAACAAGGAGTCCTGCTCCTAATATTGAAACTAATTGTAACTTGTCCTATGGAAAACATATTGTACGTAAATTACAAGATACAATGAATTCTGACTTATACACCTATTATATACATATATAATTTTATATTACATAAAATATTCTTCTTCCCTTCTATATCTTACTTCTTCTGATAAATTTATTTAACTTAATGGCAGTGATCCAGCTCCAAGACAAGATCCAACAAACATAACAAGAGAAAGCATCCATAGCATTGCTCTCTCCTCCATTTTTATTTAATTATTTAATACTGATGGCAATTTTTAATTTTTGGCATTATTATATACATCAATATATATAATATACATCTTAGACATTATGACATTAGGTATTTGACTAGCAATATTAAATTATAAATTTGCAATTATATATTGATCATGATCTACAATGTAATAATTTTTTTCGACAGATCTATCAAATATAAGTAAGATATTCGCTGATTTATATACAATAATCATTGATAATCATTGAATCGATTAATTAAACCAGAAAGGTCGACAAGATCGACAGTACTTCAGACCAGGTAATTCCTACATCTCAGAGCATAGACGTATTACATATACAGATGGAGCATTATATTTATTACATAAAAGGACTGTCTACAATGGAGGAATAAAGGTGCGGCCTCATTGACGCTAAAAAGTAGCGTCAATCATTGGTTGAACAAGGAGGTAAGTATAGTTGCTTCATTGTTCAACCAATGGTTGACGCTACTTTTTAGCGTCAATGAGGCCGCATCTTAAAGGTGCAATTTCATTGTCGCTAAAAGGTAGCGTCAACCATTGGTTGAACAAAGAAGTAAGTAGTTGCTTCATTGTTCAACCAATGGCTGACGCTACATTTTAGCGCCAATGAAATAGCACCTTTTTAAACGTGCAATTTCGCGCATGTTCGGCAGTCCTCGCGCCTGATTGGGAGCTTTCACGCATGAGCGGCAGTCCTCGCTCCTGATTGGGAATCTTCGCGCGTCCGCGTCCGTTCTCGCGCCTGATTGGGAGTCTTGGCGCGTGCGCGGCAGTCCTGAATGTCCTAAATATGTATACAAATTTTATTTGTATATATCGATAGGAAATATGCACAAACAACATTCATTCTTTAAAAAAATATCTAAAATTAGTACCCGCATTTTCTATTGTTTCTCTATAATATATATTGATTAACTATCTTGTGCACTGTATGTTATTTCATTACAATCGGTATCTGTTGAGGAAAAATTACGTAATTTAATAACAGAAATATTGGGCAAATAAATAATATATAAATGATTTTATTCGTTAAATGCTTAGTACAATTGCTTCTAATGTATCTGTTCTAAATCGTAAAGCATTTTTTCCCAACTTGCACCATTATATGTTTTGCATACATATATTTACAACAACTGTATATTGCAGAGATTGCGTTTCGACAGTTTGGATATCTGCAAGCATACTGTAGCAAGAAGAAGAGTAATTTTATGCAACTTCATTATATAAACTTTACATCAAATTTGTTTCTATAATATAAAACAAAATACTAACACATTTTATTTAAGTATTTGCTCTAAATTATGTCATTCTGTAGGGCAAGTATCACAAGTGTTTAGATATATCAGTATATGGTTACGCTTTTGTATCATCAGGAGGAACATTTTTTCCTTTCAGATAATAAATGTTTCTATTAAACAATACACATATGTATAGAGCAAAAGAAACAAGTATAGTGCGCATATGGGTGTAACTGTATGTGTACACATCTTGCGATACATTCCATATACTCTTTAACAAAATTAAAATATTAATTTGTATAACAGGAAGAAAATATATGTAGGCAAGATAATGAAATCTTTATGTGACGTAATGTAACAATATTATAATATTAATTAATAAGTAATCTTGAAAAATGTACTGTAAAACGATTATTTTGAAGAGTTTTTAAAACAAGTAGCTTCTCCAATCAATTTCAATCTATTTTAGTTAAAAATATCAGCAGATCATCTATTTCAATGATTTTTAGATATATTATAGAAAGGAAAATACTGAATAGCCTTTAATAAACATTAAATATTATTTATTTTTAATTCCGAAATTGTAAGTAGATATATGTATAGAGAATTAAAGTCCTTTAATAAAAAGTCGCTTTACATTGTTGGATGTTTTAGATACAAAGTAAGGTCCAAGATTTTTAGCTTAAAAATAAATTCAAAATTATATTCATATTACTTGATACAAGTTTTATTTGTATTATTACCAAAATTGCAAATATTTAAATTAAATTTAGATGAGATTATGAGCAATATGACCATACATATTAATTTTACGTTAATATTAGTATTCTCATATTCTGTACTTATTTAAACAAATTTATTTTAATAAAAGCTTTAATTTATTTGTTTAATTAATTACAATTATTAATTATTTGAAATAAATTGGAAATCTTAAAGTTTTTTCTTCTTAAGTGACAAGAAAAGGATATAATTCGTAAAAGTGCCCTTATTCAAATATAAGATTTACTATACTAATGTAATATTTCCATACAATATTGTTACATAAACTTTGTGTACAAATATCTTTAGAATATATGTAAAGAGTTATTATGGCAAACATAGTTTACATTACTCACTTTTCAAATTCCAAAATATGTCACAAGTGCAAGACACGGTGCCGCAAGAGAGAAAATTAATAAGTGTCTGCTTATTTTCTTACTTTCTACCTACACCTTCATGAAGAAGAAACGACACAAGTCCAAATGCATCTGGCGCCTCTATAAAAAATAATTTAATGTTTAACGATAAAAAAAATTGATAAGCTAATTATATTAACTTACTTTATATTTTATAAGCACTTGTTAATTCATTTCTGAAACATTGTATATAACCTTCTTACTTTGTGTAACATTATTGCTAAGAAAAATTAAGACACTTTGACATCAGCTTGAGATGTAGTAGCACCAGCTCCCAATGCAACACCGCCAATCAACTAGCAGCATCCACTATAAGACCTAAAGTTGCTGTAATACTTTTCTTGTCTTCCTCCACTTTTTCTGGCTGAACATCGATCAATTAAAGGCATAAACCAAGTACTAAACTGAATTCCAATTAAAGAATGTAAATTGCCTGTAAAAGAAGAAAAAAAAAACAGGAATACTATTAATTAGATATTAATTTCATGAAATATGGTAATCAGTAAACATGCAATTGCATACTATATAAACCTTTTTCATTAGTAATACCATCCACAGTAAATAATGCTCTTACACCCTCAGGTATAGTCAGGTATAATCGCTAGCGCAGTACCAACAAGGAGTCCTGCTCCTAATATTGAAACTAATTGTAACTTGTCCTATGGAAAACATATTGCACGTAAATTACAAGATACAATGAATTCTGATATACACCTATTATATACATACATAATTTTATATTACATAAAATATTCTTCTTCACTTCTATATCTTACTTCTTCTGATAAATTTATTTAACTTAATGGCAGTGATCCAGCTCCAAGACAAGATCCAACAAACATAACAAGAGAAAGCATCCATAGCATTGCTCTCTCCTCCATTTTTATTTAATTATTTAATACTGATGGCAATTTATTTTTAATTTTTAACATTATCATATACATCAATATATATAATATACATTCTTAGACATTATGACATTAGGCATTTGACTAGCAATATTAAATTATAAATTTGCAATTATATATATTGATCTATAATGTCAATGTAATAATTTTTTCGGCAGATCAAAATATAAGTAAGATATTCGATGATTTATATACAATAATCATTGAATCGATTAATTAAACCACAAACGTCGACAAGATCGACAGTACTTCAGACCAGGTAATTCCTACATCTCGGAGCATAGACGTATTACGTATACAGATGGAGCATTATATTTATTACACAAAAGGACCGTCTGGAGGACAATGGAGGAATAAAGGAAGATAATTTCATTGTCGCTAAAAGGTAGCGTCAACCATTGGTTGAACAAAGAAGTAAGTAGTTGCTTCATTGTTCAACCAATGGCTGACGCTACATTTTAGCGCCAACGAAATTTTAAACCTTTAAACCTTTAAATTTGCAATTTCGCGCATGTTCGGCAGTCCTCGCGCCTGATTGGGAGTCTTGGCGGCGTGCGCGGCAGTCCTCGCTCCTGATTGGCAGTCTTCGCGCACGCACGGCAGTCCTCGCTCCTGATTGGGAGTCTTGGCGGCGTGCGCGGCAGTTCTCGCGCCTGATTGGACGTCTTCGCGCACGCACGGCAGTCCTCGCTCCTGATTGGGAGTCTTCGCGCGTCCGCGTCCGTTCTCGCGCCTGATTGGCGCGTGCAGTCTTGCGCGGCAGTCCTGAATGTCCTAAATATATATACAAGTTTTATTTGTACATATCGATAGGAAATATATACACAAACAACATTCATCCTTTAAAAAAATATCTAAAATTAGTACCCGGATTTTCTATTGTTTCTCTATAATATATATTGATTAACTATCTCGTGCACTGTATGTTATTTCATTACAATAGGTGTCTGTTAAGGAAAAATTACGTAATTTAATAACAGAAATATTGGGCAAATAAATAATATATAAATGAATTTTATTCGTTAAATGCTTAGTACAATTGCTTCTAATGTATCTGTTCTAAATCGTAAAGCATTTTTTTCCCCAACTTGCACCATTATATGTTTTGCATACATATATGCATACAACAATTGTATATTGCAGAGATTGCGTTTCGACAGTTTGGATATCTGCAAGCATACTGTAGCAAGCAGAGTAATTTTATGCAACTTCAATTATATAAACTTTACATCAAATTTGTTTCTATAATATAAAACAAAATACTAACACACTTTATTTAAGTATTTTTTCTTTATCTAAATTATGTCATTCTGTAGGGCAAGTATCATAAGTGTTTAGATATATCAGTATATGACGTTACGCTTTTGTGCATCAGCAGGAACATTTTTTCCTTTCAGATAATAAATGTTTCTATTAAACAATACGCATATGTATACAGCAAAAGAAACAAGTATAGTGCGCATATGGGTGTAACTGTATGTGTACACATCTTGCGATACATTCCATATACTCTTTAACAAAAATTAAAATATTAATTTGTATAATAGGAAGAAAAAATATGTAGGCAAGATAATGAAATCTTTATCTAACGTAATGTAACAATATTATAATATTAATTAATAAGTAATATTGAAAAATGTACTGTAAAACGATTATTTTGAAGAGTTTTTAAAACAAGTAGGTTCTCCAATCAGTTTCAATCTATTTTAGTTAAAAATATCAGCAGATCATCTATTTCAATGATTTTAGATATATTATAGAAAGGAAAATACTGAATAGCCTTTAATAAACATTAAATATTATTTATTTTT